GAGGTCCCCTTATATTGTACATCCTTGGGAGACCAGAAGTCACCTCATATTTTACATTAATAGGAAAATCAAAGGTCACCTAATATTGTAAATCAATAGGGAGGCCAGGGGTCACCTTATATTGTACATCAATAGGGAGACTAGAGGTCACCTTATATTGTACATAAATACGGAGACCAGAAGACACCTTATAGTGTACATGATAAGGGATTCCAAAGGTCACTTTAAATTGTACATCAATAGGGAGACCAGAGGTCACCTAATATTATACATCAATAGGGAGACCAGGGGTCACCTAATATTGTACATCAGTAGGGAGACCAGAGGTCACCTTATGTTGTATATCAGTAGGCTTATGTTGTACTTCATTGTGGAGACCAAAGGTTACCTTATGTTGATCATTAGAGAGACCAGAGGTCACATAGAGTTTATACAAATGCCAAGACCAGAGGTCCTCTTATATAAAACATAATAAGGGAGACAATGCAGAGGTCAGGTAAAGTTGTGAATGAATACGGAGACGAGAGGTCTCCATATATTGTACATTACAGTGTTATAGGGAGACCAGATATTACAAAAAGTTTATATGGATGCAGAGATCAGGCTTCTACGATACTAGACTCTGTTTAACTAAAAGACAACTCAAAATCAAAACAAAGGCAATAATTATGGAAATAAGCTTCTGAACATTTAATCATGTGAAGAAAAAATTACTTCTTTCACTCCATAATTTCTCATATCTTACATCAACAAAGATTGCAACAGTTCTTTTATATCATAACACAAATAAAGATTATGAAATATATGGAGATAACGAACAGTATTCGAGCTCAAAAGTCCATTAAACATTACAAAATAGGAGCGGAGCAAACACGGACCTCCTAAATATCAGAGGTGGGATCAGGTGCCATGGAGGAGTGAGCATCCCATGCCGACCGGTCACACCCGCCGTGTGCTCCTTATCATGTTCGGGAAAAAACGGAAAAATCCGTGGACAACTCAGTGTGTGAAAATTGGGCTAACAATCAGTTTGAAAAGAGTCAGTCAGCATTTGACTTAATTGCCAACAAGGTCATTGTATCGACCATAGAACTTACGAAATGATAACCTTAAACGAGACTACTGATATTCTTGCTTCATCAACTTCTTTGTCAATAACTTACCTCGTTTTAAAAATTGTTCATACGTAGAGCATGCTCTTCCGTATTGCATCAACTGAGAGATATCATTATGGAGACCAGAGATCAACTTATAAAGTACATTAATAGGAAAACCAGATTTCAATATAAAGTAATCTCTGGTCTCCCTATTCATGTACAATATACAATATTAGGTGATCTCTGGTCTCCCTAATTATGTACAAAATAAGGTGTCCACTGGTCTCCCTATTGATGTACAATATAAGTTGACCTCTGGTTTCCCTAATTATGTACAATATACAGTGTCCTCTTGTCTCCCTATTGATGTACAATATAAGGTGATCTCTGGTCCCCCTAATTATGTACAATATAAGGTGACCTCTGGTCTCCCTATTGATGTACAAAATAAGTTACCTCTGGTCTCCCTAATTATGTACAATATACAGTGTCCTCTGGTCTCCCTATTAATGTACAATATAAGGTGACCTCTGGTCCCCTAATTATGTACAATATAAGGTGACCTCTGGTCTCCCTATCGATGTACAAAATAAGTTACCTCTGGTCTCCCTAATTCTTTACAATATAAGGTGACCTCTAGTCTCCCTATTGATGTACAAAATAAGTGACCTCTTGTCTCCCTATTTATGAACAATATAAGGTGAACTCTAGTCTCCCTATTGATGTATATAATAAGGTGACCTCTTGTCTCCCTCTTGATGTACAGTATACAAAATAAGGTGACCTCTTGTCTCCCTATTGATGTACAATATAAGGTGACCTCTGGTCTCTCTTATTATGTACAATATAGGGTGTCCTCTGGTCTCCCTTATTATGTACAATATACGGTGACCTCTGGTCTTCCAATTGATGAACAATATAAGGTAACCTTTGGTGTCCCTATTAATTACAATATAAGGTGTCCTATGGTCTCTATAGTGATGTACAAAATAAGTGACCCCTGGTCACCCTATTGATATACAATATAAGGTGACCTCTGGTCTCCCTATTGATGTACAATATAAGGTAACCTTTGGTGTCCCTATTAATTACAATATAAGGTGTCCTATGGTCTCTATAGTGATGTACAAAATAAGTGACCTCTGGTCACCCTATTGATATACAATATAAGGTGACCTCTGGTCTCCCTATTGATGTACAATATAAGGTGACCTCTGGTCTCCCAATTGATATACAATATAAGGTGATCTGTGGTCTCCCTAATTATGTAAAATAAAAGGTGACCACTGGTCTCCCTATTGATGTTCAAAATCAGTTACCTCTGATTTCCCTATTGATGTATAAAATAAGTGACCTCTGGTCTCCCTAATTCTGTACAATATAAGGTGTCTCTGGTCTCCCTGTTGATGTACATAATAAGTGACCTCTGTACCATATACAATATAAGGTGATCTTTGGTCTCCCTAATTATGTACAATATAAGGTGACCCCTGGTCTCCCTATTAATATACAGTAGATGGTGATCTCTGGTCTCCCTAATAATGTAAACTATAAGTTGAATACTGGTCTCCCTTTTGATGTTCAATATAAGAAGTCCTTTGATCTCCGTATTGATGTACATTATAAGGTAACCTCTGGTCTCCCTAATTATGTACAATATAAGGTGTCTTATTATGTCCGTATTGATGTACAATATAAGATGGCCTCTGGTCTCCGTTTTGATGTGCAATTGAAGGTAACATCTGGTCTCCCTAATTATGTATAATATAAGGTTACCACTGGTCTCCCTATTGATTTACTATAAAAGGTGACCACTGGTCCCCCTATTGATTTACAATAAAGGGTGACCTCTGGTCTCTCTATTGATGTACAATATAATGTGGCCTCTGGTCTCCCTATTGATGTACAATATAAGGTGACCTCTAGTCTCCGTTTTGATATGAAACATTAGTTTACCACTAGTCTCCACATTGGTGGTATCTGGTGACTGTTTTGCACACTCTTGTCTCCTTATTGATATACAATACCTGATGACCTCCGGTCTCCGCATTGATATGACACATTATTTTATCATTCCATATGCAAGATATTGCTCAAAGCAGGCTTGTGACAATAAATTTGATGTGACCAGGGATGATCCCTCCCATGCATCTGATCCCATCTCAGGAATTTAGGAATCTGTGTTTTATACTCTGTTTTCAAATTCCTTTGTTAATAGGATTTTCGAGATCAATCTCTGTTTGGTATCTCAACCTTTTTATTTGAATTTGTAGTTGAAAATCAGTTAATTTGAAAACAAATTCAGGATATTAAAACTAAATTTGGACTTAATTTTATTCTCATTTAAAGTTCCTAAAGTCTGTGGATTTTCCTTTTTCCTTTTTCTATAGGAACAGATGTAAGATAGGATAAATTATAGAGTGAAAGAAATATTTTCATTCTTTTTGCCTTTACTTTTTTTTTCGTTGGCTTTTAGTTAAGCAGAGTTAAGTATCGTAGATGACTGATGATAATTCTGAACCATTGACCTAAATTGAACACTTAAGGTCTATGACTGAACGAATGGAGAAAAAGTCTCAATTTCCCTGTGTGTAATTTTCAACACAGTAACAAAGACATTGGTTCTCAAACTGCTGATAATAATACATGTATTGTTTGATAAAGTTAACATTTGAAACATTTGTGAAAGGGGGGGGGGGGGGGACGTCCGACACCGAGACATCAACTTGTTGTCATGTTTAAATGTTTAAAACCATACCTTCACGTCTCTGTTAATCTATTAGAAAGATCTATATAAAGTTATTAATATAATTGTATTGGAGTAAGAGAAAACTGAGTTGTTGTTTTTTTTTAATAAATTCAATCAAAATATAGGGTGACCTGAGGTCACCATATTGATACAGATGAATTTACTTTTGTGCCTTTAATGCCTGAAGAGTTCATATAATGTTTTATTACTACGCAAAATGACGAACTATTTGCGGGTGACCCGAGGTCCTAGTTGAGCGTACGTTTTATCTTCCTGCAACTAGGTATATGTCATACTTTTTATGTGAGTGGCCTCTGGGTATTTCTCGGAAAACACCTCAATGTTTTTACACTGAAACCAATATTTTCTTCATAAACAAGATATAACAAGTAACAAAACTCTTTTGAATATTGAAAAATAATATAAATGTAATAGTTTTGCTAAATATAAATAAACAATTAGACTTTGAAATGTAAACTTCTTAATATTTCAGTCCGAATTTCCTCTGTCAATTTTCTAATTTTTCCCTTTTTTAATCTAATTTTACAAAAATCTTAATGATGTCTCTAATCTATTTGAAGCCTCAGTTTACTTTTATAACCCTTATTATATGGTTTTAAATTCATATGAGGAAATGATTCTTAAGGTATCCATTTGTCTGGAAGGGTTTTTTCTCCTATTTTGAAATCCTATATTGCATATCATTATATTATTTGAAAAGATACATGAGCTTTAACACACACAATATTTGCCAAATGTTGTTAAAAACACATAGAATCTGAACTTCATGAATAATATTGCAAGAAAGAAATTGTGAAAAAATTACAAAATAAAATTCATTCCGAATTTCCTCTACATCACCATTAATTTACTTCTGTTCTTGCATATTTTCTTTAAACAACAAAATATTTTTTTAATTGATAAGTTATTTAGTTTTTAAAATTGCTATTTTGTCCGTTAACAAAAATTTTTATTTAACATATAATACTTTTTCGTCAAACCCTGAGTAAACTTCATCCTTAATGACAAAGGCGCAAATGTTCTCTGAAATTGAACACATTTATCAATAGAGGTCATTATACATGTATTCTTTTGATGACGACAAACTTAGTATATATAAATAATTGCGCAATTGTGATGGGTCATACCTGTACCAGTAACAGACAAAATTACTGACGCAACCTACACCCTGTATTACTGAACAAATATGTAAGTACATGTCGACAAATTACTTTACAAAATGTAACAGAATATGTTACTTAAATCTTATTTAAAGAGAAGTGTTGTTTTCCATAATGAATATTTTCTTCTGTCTTTTGAACTACATTTAATCTATCCTTGTTAATATCAGAAAAGTTTTATAGAAACATTTTTTGCATATCAGCTAACAGCTGATATGAAGGACAGATATCATTAGACTATCTCTATAGTAGACGTACCTTGTGAAACAGTATACAATTTGAGGTAATATTTTTTCATTACAATTTGAGGTGATATTTTTCATTAAAATTTGAGGTGATATTTTTCATTAAAATTTGGATTGATTTTTTTTTTCATTTCATCATGCGCAGTTTGAGGTGATTTTTTTTTCTTTACAATTTGACGTGATTTTTTTTTACATTACAGTTTGACATGATACTGTTTTTTTTCATTACACCTGAGTTGATATATTTTTTTTTTCATACAGGTCCTGGAAGGTCTTGGTCTGTATTATCTCTGTTGCGGTTTTCATCAAAACGGACAGCGTTAAAGCCTATAATGACCATTTCCACAGAAAATATGACAGAATTTGCAGACGACTGGGATATCAGAGAAACTTCGAATTGGACAAAAGTAATTATTTGTACCATAGCAATTGTTTACTTATTATTAATTTGCGTTTTATTCTTCTTTTGCTACCCTGTCGCATAACATTGTAAATAATATAATTTGATTAAAAATAAAGAAAACTTGCGTTCTAAAAGTATTATCTTAATTTGATAAGTGATATCAACTAGACTATGGGATGATAATTTTATTTTGTTGTTTTTTCCTATAATTACATTTCTTTTAAATATCTCTTTTTAATCATTCCATCTCCGAGCTCCTTCTTCAAATTAAGACGTAACGTAACTGTTACAACTTTTAACTTTAGTTTGTTGTTTAAGTCGTTTCACTCGTGTGGAGAACCCATCACATACAATGTCATGCATTTCTAGATAGTGAAAGCCGGAGAAGAAGCCTTTGATAAGAGTATTATTAGGCAAAGTGTTCATTCTATGTTTATCAAAACCGTCGCAGTAGGTGCTGGCACGAAAAAGGCCCCTCACTACTCAATGGCCTTGTGTGCCGAGTATAGGTCAAAAATTTGCAGCTCTCTACCGGCAAGTGGTGGCGTCTCCATATGAGTGAAAAATTCTCGAGAGGGACTTACACAACAAACAAACAAACCAAAATTTTATATATCTGATGATGACAAAATTAGTATATCAGACTCTGTAATAAGTTATATTATTTAAGAAGCAACTACATGTAATTTGCAGGTATCGTTGCCTTTAACGCTCGACTTGCAACAAACCAGATAAACTTGCCCCCACATGCTGTTGTTGCCTTTAGAAAAGTAACCCTTAACGAAGGGAATGCTTATGACGCAGACACAGGAAAATTTACAGCACCCACTGACGGAATTTATTCCTTCACATGGACCATCCTAACGAGACCTGGGGATTTGTTCCAAACATACCTTCTCCTGAACGGCAACAAAGTTGGATTCAACAATGTCCATGGCAGAAAAAGTGACAACTACGAAACAGGAACGACCACAAGTATAATAAAGATGAAGGAACATGATCGTGTGTGGCTATCCACAGTTGCAAGAGCAGGTTTTGCCCATAGAGACTGGAGTTCTTTTTCTGGCTTTCGACTTTAATTTGATTGCTAAATATTCGTAAATGACAAAATGTCATTAGCTCTATTTTCTTGAAACTTTTATAATTTCAACACTTTTGAACTGTGAATAATAAATTGAGTGTAAAATTTACTCAGAAAATCTTTTCTATTGTGAAATACATTTGCAGAGAAAACAGACAAGTGACAAACAAAGTAGACTTCTTATTATCAACAGATGCTTCTGTAGCGTGTTCTTCATACCAAAGTAAATACAAGTCGATAGAAATGTTATGGTGACGCTTTTGATTTCGCTAATATCAAAGCGATAAGCAAGAAAAATAATGCGTTTATTGTAATTCATGATAATTAAATGTACAAAATCTTGACGTGAGCCCTTTGCAGAGATGTCCGGGAGAGGAACAAAAGAAAACTCTGCAAAGGATATTGGGGTTAGAGATGCTAGAAAAACACAATATTCGTAGTAAAGTTATTCATAAACAAGAAAGTCATATATACTTACATAATTGCTGACTCACCACTTGATATTGTCATATAGAAACAGAGCATTTGTTTGATCGACAGGAGTCAATCTTACATTTTTATCTTACCTATTGCAGTTGAATTTTCCGATGTTATGGTGTCGAAGCAAGATTCTCAAATGTTCTTTTTGCCCGCCAACAAATTTTCAGAACTGATTGCTCGGTACCATTTGCACTGATTTAAAATTGTGATCAGTGAGGTGGCAAGAGCAATGGATTGATCCTTGTTTCTCTGATGATCAAAACTGATATGTCTACTATCTCGTCTAAAAGTCACACAGTGCTTTGGCATCCGTATCCGTTCCCAACACTTCCGGTTGCCATCGATTTGCGGAACAATCTAGCAATGGTCATGTTTAGCATACTGAATGCCGTATCCATCAATAGAAGGCATTTTCATATTTTCTAATCTAGTCACGGCATATTTTTACTAGAAAAAACATAAATCTGAACTTGTTTTATTTTTTTTTACAAACATATCCAAAGGAACACCATGCAGAAACGATACAGCAAATAGTGTAACCTTTTTCTGCGTTTTTATTTTTATGAATGCTTACATAAATTTAACTTGAACACATGTAAATCGACATAAGCTATATGTTTCCCTACTTCCAATATCGCACTGGGGTATACCCTTCGCATTTGTTATACCTAATTGCTTTCTTGTCATTGATGAATGGAATATACGACATATGGTTTATCTTGCATTAATTTTGTTTACATTTTATTGCACTTTACATATGTTTTTGTTTGTTTTTCTACATTGACCTTTGCAATTTACATGTATATCACAGTTTTAGGCTGGTTTTTTTTTTCTCCTGCCGTGGAAGAAGCACTCAGTTACTTTTCCCTGTATTTTACAATGGTTATGTAGAACCATTGCGACTGAAAAGCGTATTATATTTCACTGAACCGTGGTCAAATGAACGGATGATACAGGGGCTTTACATACAATAGCAGGTTAAGTGAAACATAAGCAAAACTTCCTGATACGAAACGTATCCAGCTTTTTAAAAGAGCTCAAATCACGAAAGAAAATAGGGAATTATTCCTACATAAAGTGTAAGCGCGCTTTTCAGGCATTTCTATGAAATTGTTACGCTTCATTTAACAATGTAATCATGCATCAGTTTTGGTATTTATTTTTTTTTAAGGCTTTACTTTTAACAATGGTAACATATATATAAATCAAGTTCATCATAAACAAGTTTTGAAAAGGTAAATATTTTAATTTTCTACAGGTGGTGCGTCAGCAATTTCGTCTAGTGTATAGTAAAACTTCGGTTAAAGTAAAGTTCTTGGGACCTGCGAATTCGTTTTTTCCGTAATTCGTTTTACTATCCGTAATTCGTTTTATCATATAGTCTATAAATAGTCCCAACATAATCTTTACAAACGCAAACAGTTCATAATACTACATATTCACTTGATTTGAAGCCGTATTCACCGGAGGGTCAGTGGCGTGCAGCAGCATTGTGACGTCACAATCAATACCTCAAACAACGTTGAAAACAATGGTTGCAACGGCCGGAGCCAGCTGTATATCTGAGCAGGAAAACTGAAAATTTTATAAGTGCGCTATAGCGCAAACAATGAAATTATAATTTTATGAGTAAACTGAAGTAAGGTATAATGATGTATTCTTCCGCGTTTCCTTGATTCGCAAGCCCTTTAAAGTGATCGGGATCGAGATATAAAAATTACTAACACTTCCTTCTTCCGCTGGCTTCGCTTACAAGCAGGCGCTTTTTCAGCTAGAATTTTTATCAAAGTAAATCGACTTGTTCCGTCGAATTTTTTTGTTTGTTTTTGCTTGTAGAGCTTCTGCAGATTTTAGAGGCACGTTGTGCATTTTTATATGGCACGTTGTGCATATATTTTGAAGGCACGTTGTGTTTTTTTTCACATTATGGGTTTTAGCCAGGATGGCAATGTACGTTCTGACTCGGAGAGTAACCCGTACGAATCTGGACAAGAATCCGAGAGATCTAATCTCTCTGAAGATAATGATAGCTCCACACATCAGGAACCAGATCTGCAAGACAACTCTGATGTTATTTTGTAAGAGGCAGAATCTGATGGGGAGAGATTTGACCCTACAGAAGGTGAGAATTCATTTTCACTTGAAGGCAGCATGGCTGCATACTGTCAGAAATACTTTTATCAACATCTGACAGAAGACAGTATCAAACGCAACATTTAAGATGCAGCCCCTATAACATTGGCCATAACATTTGAACGGTTAATGCTAGGGCTTTCATACTTCACATGTGTAATCCTTGTGAGAGACCTTCCTTTGGATACCAACAATTTTGACCCTTTAGCCTTGACCTAAGTTTGACCTTCTTTTGAAAAAATTTAACCTTGGCCATATCTTTTGAACGGTTGGTGCTAGGGCTTTCATTCTTCAAAAATTTAATCCTTGTGACAAGATCTTCCTTTGGATACCAACAACTTAGACCTTGACCTTGGAGTTTTACCTACTTTGAAAAACTTTAACATTGGTCATATCTTTTGAATGGTTGGTGCTAGGGGTTTCATAGTTCACATGTGTAATCCTTGTGACAAGACCTTCCTTTGGATACCAACAACTTTGACCCTTTGACCTTGGAGTTTGACCTACTTTTGAAAAACTTTAACCGTGGCCATAACCTTTGAACACTTGGTGCTAGGGCTTTCATTCTTCACATGTGTATTTCTTGTGAGAAAGCCTTTTCTTAGGCACCATTAAATTTTGACCATTTGACCTTGACCTTGATGTTTGACTTACTTTTGAAAAAGCTTTAACCTTTTCCATCTTTTCAATGGTTGCTGCCAGGGCTTTCATATTTCACGGGTATATTCCTCGGTACAAGACCTTACTTTGGGTACCAGCATATTTGATTTGCATTTGAGAAAGTTTTTTCGCTATAAGTTGCCATACGGGGGCATCAGTGTTTCACAAAAACATCTTGTTTAAACATGGTTTTTCTTGTCTGAAAGTGTCAGAATCTTGTGTATTTTTATTAATTTGAGTTCTATTTTACATTTAATAATCCGGAAGACAAGCACCTATGACTAAAATATATATTTATGATTAGTGTTTGTGGAGCACAACCAGGGATCCACCTTTAAAAAAAAAAAAAAAAAAAAAAAAAAAAAAAAAAAAAAAACACCCGTCTCCAACACGTCATTCAGATATTAAAGAAATTTAAGGGTTTTCGTTTTAATTAGTCAGGAAGAACATTTACTCAGATTATTTATCAGAGGTTTTATCATTTTATACCAGAGCACCGCTTCACTAATCAGGTAGTAAACGAAGGAAAAGACTGCACCGGACCAAACCAGGATTTAACTCAACAAGGCCTCGGAGCTCTGCTACTACAAGAACTATGCACGCTAACTCTCGATTCCCGCCTACATTTTACACCCATTTAATTCAATACTAATGGCATTTTGGTCGTAAAATCTTTGTTGAGTGCAAAGAACAGTTCAATGGTAATTGAATGATAATTTTAATACCAGTGTTAAAAAGTTAATTACCCCTAATTCCAGCTCTTATCAGGGGGGTAGACGATATTTTTCATTGAAATTGGGCTTTAAAGCCTCACCACATTTTAAAATATTCTTGGATATGAATAAATGTTCCTTAAATCTTTTCTTACGTTTTACTCATATAAAATTAAACATATCTTATTAATAAAATACAATGTTTTAGTTCTAAACCCCTTTGAAATTGTTGAAAAAATAAGCATTTTTGTAGTTTTTTGTCTATAGACATATGCCCCTCCCCCCCCCCCCCCCCCCCGTGAAACACAAAAAGCTTTGGTATGAATTTGTGAAATGACAGTCCATATTACCTGTAAAAGGGAAATTTTTTTTCACGGGGGGGGGGGGGAGATGTTTTAAAAATATTTTCCGTTTTCCGTTGATTTCTATGGTGAAAAACACAAGTTTTACCAAAATTATAGAGTTATCTCTCTTTGTTTTCCCAAAAGAAGTAATGTTTTATGAAAATTTATATAGATATCTATATAGATATGAAAAAATCATTCAGATGTGTTAACTTTTGAAAATTGACTTGGAGGTAGGGGAAACAATACTATCGTTCGCAGTTCTTTGAACATTTAAAGACGCCTGTCCAGATACATCCAGACTCTTATCTGTCACTCCCAGGGCCAAACGCAATTAAGGTAGTCCGATCCTCAGGTTCTGAAAATCAGCTTTTAAGTAATTGAAAATGCTCACAAAAATGTCCCTGATTTCACATGGAAACATGAATTTACCCACGGTATTTCTTCAAAGTTCATCATTATAGTTAATCATATTATATATAGGGAAAATTATCAAATCTCAAATATAGTTTCAGGAAATGCGAATAAGAACAGCTATGCATTTTCTAATTGAAAATTGATCAACAAATATAATTTAAGATAAAAAATGTAGGTATCCAGGCATTAAAGAAAGTTGCATCTTTTTATGCTTATACAATATTTACTTCAAATTATACAATATTTAAGTTCTCTTTACTTCAATGTTATTTAATACATAGTGTAAAAAGCTTGTGTTATCATTGCTAAACATCACATATCACATCTAATTTCATATCATACTAATAAGCATTGGTATCTAA